TATGAAACAGAGCCCTGGAAGAGCTGCTGTGGGTTGCCAAAGTAAGGGGCTACCTAAGGAGTTGACCAGGCATTGGCGTCCAGCCTCTGGAGAAGGCTGACCACCAGGAACTCAGCTGGAGAGCCAGCTCCCGGATCAGCTGCATCAGCTGCCTCGGCCCCTATCCATCTTCTCTCCTCTTTCTGGTATTTCAATCTTCATTAGTTTAGATGGCTACTCAGTTACACAAATTCTGTGTCCAGAGCTTGGGGCAGAAAATAATTTCAGGGGCAGCAGGCTGCCGGCATTGCCACAGGAACGGAGTAAACCCAGGTACTTCCAACAGGCCCCGTCACCGTCTTCTGATTGCTGTCCCATCCACACTGCCACTCGCCCCCGCGTTCCGCAAAACCGCTGGGGTTTCTGCAAACCGCGCGGCTGCAACTAGCACTCCGCGGCAACCGCTCATCCTCCTCTCCGGGGCTCAGGTAGCCCATAGTCATCTTCCAGTCAGCAAATCAGAGTCCTGCATTTTTGCAGCGTATGCCTTACCCACCCCTCCGTACAAGTGTGACGACGCCTCCCTTCCTCTTAGGCCCGCGTGTAGCCGGACATCCCCACAGACAGCCGCAGCAGCGCTGCTGCTCTCTGCCTTGCCTCAGCAAAGAGGCCGGGGAGTAGATGGATGTGCCGAAAAGCACGTCTTGCACCGCAGCACGGCGCGTGCAGTTTGCGTACCTACGCTCGTCACAGCAGAGAAACTAGTGGTTGTTAGTTAAATTCTAAGATTGGTTTCAATTAGTTACCAAAAAAGGCAAAAGTCTGAAAGATATGTTGCCTTCTGACAACTGAAAATTGCATTGCTACCTTTTAATTTATTTAATTAATTAATTAACTAGCAGAGGAGGAGGGTAAGCAAAGTAGAAGGGTTTAGATTCACCGCCAAGTTCCCCTGTTTGCCGACAGGATAGCAATAACAGTGTTATAACTTGTGTTTTGCACAACATATTATCTCGGGCTCTAATAAATACACAATACCTTATCCCTTGAATCAGTAAAAGAAACAGGCAAGCACTAACTACAAGCAATCTTGTTCCATTTAATTATCTTCCAAAAAATGTATCACAAGGTTCACGAGCTTATCTCCCTGACATGAAACTTGCCAACTCCCCTTTTAACTGACTCCAGCCCCATAGCTTTGAACCTTGCTAGGGCCGTGGGGCACACAGCTGAGCACATTTCTCAGGAAACCTCGTGTACTGGGGGGGGGAAAAAGCGTGCAATGATTGTGGTCTCGCTGCAGCTTTTTGCAACCGTTCCCAATGTCACAGTGACCTGCAGTTATTTGAAGAGGAAGCTTCCAGCTGCAAGTATCTTCAATTTGCAACTCTTAACCTACTCCCTGAGAGAAGCCTGCTGGGAGTGGTATGCGTCCCTGCTGAAGCTGCGTGAATGCTTCTTCTGTATTTTTAAACAGTCGGTTTACGTGACACTTCTGATCTCGTGATGGTTACACAGGAGCTCTAGTTAGGTTTGCCTTTCACAGCTAATGAGAGCTACTAGAACAATTTTTATACTTAAGCAATGGGATGCGTAGAGTGGAACCAGAGATGAGTCAGCAGTTGGCGAAGGTTATTTGAATAGCAACACAAACCGTGCCGGCCGCTAGGAAACCATCCACAAAGGTCAGACCGAGTGCCTAGTATTTAGACACTACCACCCTGGTGACGCGAATTCTCTTAAGACACTCACGTTTTTTTAGACCAAGCATCATTCTATTTGACATTTGGATGTTGTCGTATTGAATGCCCACGACCTGGTTCCTGGATGACAGGGACGGATGCTTGACATTACCGGTACTATGCACAGCGAGGCGTGCCTGCCAGATTGACAGATGCTGCTCTCTCCCCACCGAGGGGAGCTAGGCACTAAAATTAGCAACTATTAAAACAAGCATGCCGAGCAAGGATCTGCTGAGCCTCCTCAACAAGAAATACTGAAGAGCAGGCAAGGAGTCACCATGGCTCTTTCTACAAGGAGTTAGGGCTGAAATTCACAAGTAGGGACAGCACAGCTTACAAAATGACTGCCCCCGGTACAGAGATGGCCGAGGTGCTCAAGGATAATCAGGTGCTGAGCCACAGCAGCTTACAGCGCCCAGCCTTAAAGCAGGGCAAGGGCAGTGAGAGCCTTTACAAGCTACTGCCGGCGCCGACAGGAGCGGTGGCGGGGAGGGGTGTTAGGCCAGACACAGGATGTGCGAGACAGCTCCCTGGTGAGGTGCTGCTCCTCGCCAGCAGCCCTGGAGAGGAAAACGCTTACAAACAGCCCTGGAAAGGAAATGGTTCACAAGCTAAAGCTCACTTCGGCTTCAGCCCTGTTGCCTCCGCAACCACAGGAAGCAAGCACACCGGCCCCACTCGTGAAATCATAGCTTTTGGGAACTTTTACCTTGAAGAGCAGGAAAGTCTTTTTTTCAGGTAGAATTGATCTCTTTAATCCCTTCTGCTGGGATCATTGCCTAAGCGCCTTCATTTGCCAAAAAGAAAAAAAGCACAATAAGAAACACAGCTGCTCGTGATGGTTCCACCTTCCCTTATTCAATTGTTCAGTGGTTTAACATTCAGCCTGAATGTTGCAGACCTACTTTTAATTCTCTCTTCTAGCTGAGAGGACTCAAGGCCACATTGTTCCAGCCCTCCACTCCAGTGACCTAGCTACAAAACAACTAATAAAAAAAAAAAAAAAAAAAGGCAAAAGACATCCCACCATAAACGCCTTCACGTTCTGCTGATCCACTTCAGTAGGGACACTTGGGAGGCTTCTGCCTGCCTCTCACCGAGACTGGTGTTGCCAGGACCGAGAGCTGCCGTTACTCTAGGAAACCAGCGTGACTGGTCGCAGGCAGACACAGACTTTATGGCACCTTCCGCATCAGAGGTGAGCGGGGGGTTTAAAATGTCTTTGCAAGAGAAACCCCGGGCCTCTGAATTACCCACCAAAAGCCCGGTTTTAATCAGTCTCTCTGGTGTGTTTGCATCAGAGCATTAAATGCCATTAAACTTGAGGGGGTAAACCAAAGATTGTCCCAAAGGCAAGGCTAAGAGCAGTAGCATTAGTGAATTACCATTGCCGTCATCACAGGACCAAATGGCATATAGGCTACACGGCATATTGCTACACGGCAATGTCGCCCTGGCCCATAAGCAAGAACTGGGGTTTAATGACTGGCATTTATTGCTACAGGTAAATGCCAGCTGCCTCACTCTGAGCCTCAACAGTTTAGTTTATATCATAGGTTTTAGTCTTTCATATGGAAACAAAGTTATGCAAACATATAAATTTGAATTTGGGGTAGTTTTTCAAAGCTAATCTTACAAAACAACAAGAGCCCTTAGTGAGATGCCGAGAAACGAGACGCAGGAGCAGCGTGTCTGGTTTGAGTTACAAGGAAAGCCTTACGTCCTTCTGAAACCCAATCTTTCTCAAACATACACCACATGTGCGTTTGCACATACATGACTGCAAGGACGGCTTGCAGAGACCTCTCTTTGGTCTCTTCTGTAATGAATGCACTTGATTAAAGAGCCAAAAAATCCCGAAAAGCCTTCATTGCGGTAGGCGCAGAGCTTCTGTGGGAACCGACCGTGTTTTCCTCCATACGCTGCGCCAAATGAGCTCCTCGGGACTCAAGAAAAACACACACGCACAAAAAAAATCCCAGCCCGGTGCGGTGAAGCCATTCGCCCTCCAGCCCAGCCCGCGCTCGGAGCTGTAACGCCCCCTACTGACGGCTCCCCCCCCAGGGAAGCCGGGCGGCCGCCGCCTGTGGCGCCGAGGGAGGGAGGCTGGCCGGGACCGGGCCGACCTCGCCTCCTTCAGCAGGCGGGGTAAAATTAGTTTTGCTGGTAGTTGGCAGAAGTTCTTTTTCGAGTTTTTATCTCTGCCCCCTCTAAATGTAAACGTTTTCGGCAAAAAAGCAGCAACTGAGAGAAAACCTGGGTTTGAAGCCTTTGGATTTCTTCTTCCGTCTCCTCTGAAAAGGTTTGGAACCCTTTCCCCCCACTCTGTTTTTCAGCGCTCCCCAGGCTCTTCTTACAGGCCTATGGTCAGCATCGGGTGGTCCGGCAGGTGTTCGCGCAGCTCCCGGACCCTGGCAAGGCTCGCCGGGACTGAAGCAGAGCAGAAGCTCCGGAGCTTTCTCTTACAGGTACCAGTCAACGATTTTCGTGGCACTGTCCTTCTCAAAAGACAACAGTCCTGTTAGGTTATTCAGGAAGGAACAATGTATTGCTAAAGCAAATAATCACTGTCCTCTAATGACATTTATTAAAGGCTCAGTTCGCAATAGCAGCCTACCAAGAAAGAGCAAAGTGCTCTCAGCCAAGCGACACTTCGTAATTTTGTAACCTAAATTCTTAAGGGATAACAACGTAATTCCTAGAAGTGACAGGAGCAGCTCTGATCACCCTTTCCCTCAAGACCAAAAAACCAGAACCACAAGTATTCAGATTATGGCAAAGCTCAGAGTACTCTGGCAAATCTGCTATGCATTCCACACCACAAGAACGAGGGGATATCGTTACAAGAAATGGGACAAAAAGGAATGCCTCCTTCTCACGCACCCAAAGCACCGCTCTCAGCAGAAGCTCTTAAAAATATATTGTACATTATTCCGTTTGGAAAGCAAGAACAACATTGTCAGAGAGAAAACAGAAAGGACTGAGACAGCACACCTTCCTCCTTCATCCAGCCCCATTCTCACTGTGCCTTGAAAAAAGATGGGAAGAGAAAAGATAAATGGTTGCAAAGAAATGCAACGAATCCTGTATTGTCAGTCCTGCAGAGCTGGCAAGAGGCATCACTCAAGCATTCTGCTCACACATGGCAACTTTTTTTAAGAAAATACTAGGATTTACCATATACCCTTTTAAAAAGTAGTGTTAATATTGAACTCAGTGTCAAGAAACGAAGGTGCTAGGGTGGTAAAATACCCCCCACCCCCCCGCCAATTACATCCGTAAGATTTAAAATGTTTAATGTGCAAGTCTTGGACAAAAATCATTAAGTTACAATGTACTAAAATATGAAGGATGGGAATTTCTTCATTGTATATGCTCACAGTAGTAAGTGAAATACTCAGTTGCTGAAGTACAAACATCAGTATGCTTAAGTGACTCATGCTTAATTTTTAAGGCAAAAATAGGTAACAACACGACTGCATACAGTTGAAAAAATATTTACCAAACTGATTAGATAAACAGCCCACCTCTAGCATGAAAATTTTAATTATTTACTTAATATAGCGGTGTTTTATTTGAAAAGTTACCATTAAAAATGTAGAATTAATCTATGTAGGATGAGTAGCGCTGACATTTTTACCTGGGCCTCCGCACTCACGGATCTTTGTCCCTAAACCCTTCTCCCTGTAGGCTGTCCTCTCTCCCCGCTCATTTCCAGTCTTGTGACAAAGGTGCAGGTGTGCCCGAGCAGCCCCGGAGTCCACAGAGGAAAAAGCTGGAATGCTAAAAATGTAAGCAAAAGGTCCCAACAAGAACCAAAGAAAAAACAGATCCTGAGAAGTAAAATTAATGAGGGGGGGGGAGAAGCTATATGCAGGTATCCAGGGATTTGCTCAGTCATCCTTGTCTTTTGCTCCGTGTTTCAGGATGCGTGTGAATTCAATGTAGTTGAAATTCCCCTTTTTGTCGATGGGCGCCTCTCTGTACAGCTCATCTACCTCTTCGTCTGTGAACCTGTCCCCCATCGTCGTCAGCAGCTCCCGCAGGTAGTCCTCCTGGATGAACCCTAAAACGAGACGTATAGAGAGAAGCACGAAAGGGAAGCCGCTTCTCAGCGGAGTCTTCAAAAGCCATCAGCCAGCCATACCAACAGACATGCAATTAACTAATACAGCACGTAATAGATGCACTTGCACCAAGAGCCCCGTGCTTCAGTTTCTTAACTGAATTCTAAAGAAATTCCTTGAACGCAAAGGGGAAGGGGGAGAAGTCTGATGCATTTCACACAGATTTTTGAAAAGAGGGCCTGATCCCCTGTGATCTAATAACATCTATTTCCACCTACTGATCTTCAACAGCTCAAAGTAGAAAAACAAGTTCCTGTCACTGCTAGTCTTCATTACACAAGCTGTTCTCTTAATTGAATTATATTTTTCTTGACTTAATTAGATGTATTTGCGCATCCTTTACAAACTGGTTTCCTCTGGGGACTAAATAACCACTAGCTGGCTCTTCACTGCTGCACAATACTGTTGCTGGAGGCGGTTTACGTGGATACAGTGAACTGCTGGCAGAAAGAGTCTATAACAGAAAAGACTTTCAGACAGGACTGAGCAAGTTAACTCAGGAGGGGGGAAGAATGTTTACTGAGGAGAGGTAGAGGTGGAGAAGCTAGTCAAAACAAGGTAGGGTATATGAAGTTATTTATTTTCTGCTAAAACATTAGCAGAAGATCTTGGAGGAAATTAACAAGGACATAAAAATGAGCCGTTGCTAAGTATGTTCTGTCAATTCAGTTTCAATAGATGGGCAGAACCACCGGTTGCCAAATAATTCCAGGAAAGGTTAGAGATGAAAAAAAGGAATGCGCGTAACAACTGGTAGACAGAAGAATGCAGAAACTGCTTCACGTTGAAGTAAGACCTACCATGCCTTTAAATGCACGACAGTCGCTTCATTTGAGAAAGAAATTGGTTATTGAACTCCAGTTGGAGAAATATCAATAACAGAACAGAGGAGGTAGAAGTATGTTCTAAAAAAAAAAAAAAGACACGTAAACTCTGCAGAACATCTGGAACACCTACATCAACTGATGTAGATTCAATTAGAACGTGATTAAAAAAAAAAAAGTTCCGCTTTGGAAGGAGAGTTAAATAACTTAAGCAAACAGAGTTCATTAGAAACACAAAACCAAACAGGGAATCAGGGGACCAAAAGGCAGTCAATGAGCATGACAAATTATCATGGCGTTGGTGTGTGCTGCAGGCAAGGGGAAAAAAACCCATGTTTCAACATACGCTAATTAAAACAGCATCATATCGCAGTATAGAGAAGCCCTTGACTACTGACTCCAAATGAAGAAGGCTAACAGCACCGTTCTACTTTAAAAATGGGGAGAATGTTCAGTTAGCCAGGCCCATCTTAATCGGGTCAAATTTTGGAGTTGTCTCTGTGCAGACTGATGTAAAGAAGGGGAAAAACCTGCTAAGCAGATCAGGCGCTCTATTTCTGCCGTCCTACAGAGACCAGGGAGTGATGAGAGATGACCTAAGGATTAGTATTCAAAGAATGCAAGGCCTTTGGTGCTGCAAGTTTAGCCTCAAGGACTTAATTGCTTCTTTCTGAACAGCTAGGTGTTTCAATACTGGACTAGGTTGCCAGACAAGGAATACACTAAAAGTTTTAGCAGCACTGGAATTGTAAAGCAAACAGTACTCCCACTCCCCGCCCCCCCCCCTCCCCAGCTTCAGTGTAAATGGGGAGCAACAAATTAATGAAGCAAAATTTAAGATTCAGCCTCTGGCAGACAGCACAAAACAGATGACAATGCAGAATCAAAGAGCAGACAAAAGATATACCAAATGCCAACAGATATAACTTTTATACTATATTCGTAGTACTACATACGATAGTAATGCAGAAGCAATATACCCAACTAGATTGGCCATATAGGAAATGTAAGTAAAAACCAACAAAATACAACCACCTTATCCTCATCAAAAGGATCTGATTTGTATTATTCTCTTTGAAATGAACTACATTGATGCAGAGCTAGAAAATCAGGCCTCTAACACACACACACATGGAGATTATGAAGCGGGGAAAAAAAAAAGGAAAAGGTTTGACATAGCTGGAAATGCTTTTGTTCATTTTTGAAAGGAACAAACTGATCAGAAGCCAAATCTGAGAATAAAATGAAAAAAAAGGCAAACATAACATGGGTTCTGCAAATACATCACATGTTATTTTGGAGACTGCATTTTGGCTATTATGAATCAAAAATCAATAAAAATCTAACATGTTTCCGTGTTAAAATTTGAAAATGGCCTAAGACACAAAAGAGACTGTGGAGCCATTATCCTCAAATCATCCTAGGACTAGACTAGAACATTTACCGCACAGAGTTGAAAGATAATAAAATCAATCTTATCAGTACGTGGGGGCCTCAACTAGTAACTTATTGTTTACATAGACCTAGAAGGTTACTGTTCAAAAGAACGGTAGCACAATCATTTTCTTTATATCGTAATTCACAGGCTCTTGTTTTGGTGCACACAAAAAACCCCTATAGCACAGTGAGTCAGACTACCTGTGGAGAGAAAATAATTAACCTACTAACAAAACTTCCTTCTCTAGGAGATGGTAAAGAGATTTCCCTTGAGAGGGAGGAAGTCAATTAACATTTGAAAAGGCCTTACCAACA